AGAAGTTCCAATTATAATTAAAATAGAGGAAATCTTGCACATACAAAAGCATGTAACTTAAACAGTATAAAATATATTAGAGCATACCAATAAAAGACAACTATTACAATTCACTAAGAAAAGAAACCCTTTACAGGAATGTGTTCTAAAATCGTGAAAGTACAATAACAGACAATTTAATACGAAATAGCAATTTCTAAAACTTACATTGAAGGGGAAACAAACCAAGATATGCATGTAAAAGATAAAGCACTGCACACAATGCAATTTGCAAACCACTTCAGATATCCATAAAGCAACATTGAAATCGCCCAGCGTAGATCTTTCATTTTGAAGTCTCAAACTATCGTGCAGGTTCAAGGCTGCTGTTGAGACCAGCGCCTGTGTGTCTGGGAGACTGTAATGGATTTCTGTGCTGCAGATGCGGCAGGTGCAGAGAGGTAAAGGCTAGGTGGCTGGAGATCTGGCTGACAAGCCCCCCAGGACTCCCTACCTCAAGAAGCAGGTCTTTGAGATTTTGGTGACGGGTTAACAGCTGGACGGCCGCCTCCTGCAGCTCCTCCTCGCTTTCATACTTTGGCCGTTTCTTTGACACGTGGGACTCTAGGGGAAAAAAAAGGATAAAAACTTTGCAACAAAGTCCAGCACTCTCCATGAAGAAGTCCTGATATTAAGCTGAGACGGGGAAGTTCCAGTCCTCGAGGGAGGGGGGGTTTCAAGGGCCTCAGGGTGTCATTGCATCCTACATTTTAATTTCTCAATTTAAACTAATTATGTGGACAAGAAGTGAAGTCACTTATTCCTTTTGCATTTTAATCTATGACTAGCGGAAAAGGCAGTGTTATCACCTTCTGGTGGGGAGCTGCGTCAGCATGTGTAGGCTGCAAAGGAAGAAGTAATAGGTTTATTCCATGCTGAAAAAAAGAAGAGAACACAACGTTTCGGCCGTGGAGCCTGAAGGCGACTCCACGGCCGAAACGTTGTGTTCTCTTTCTTCTTTTTTTCAGCATGGAATAAACCTATTAGTTATCACCTTCTACCTTGAACTGGTTTAAATCTCCGCAGCAAAGCAAGGCTGCATCTGGTCAGTAATGGGACGGGAGAACACCAAGGGAAAATAGGTTTCTGTAGAAAGTGCTGTCGCCAGACCAGCAGGGGGCACTCTCCCCTCTTTACCAGAATTCATTAGCCAATGCAAAAAAGCATGAGGAAACCATGCTCTAGGACAGGGGTTCCAAACTGGGGGTTTGCGGACCCCTAGGGGCTCATGATGGTACTGCAGGGGGTTCGTGAGATTGTGATGGGAACATCAATGTCACATTAGTCCTATTAATAAATAACAATGAAATAATTAGAATAAGAAAAACAACAGTAGTAATATAAACATTTTACAAAGTGAAAAGAAGCATGTTAAGAGGATTGCTGTAGAATTTATCTACATTTATTGAAAGGTTTGATTTAGTTAAAATCTCAAGGGGGAGCTTGAGGCAAATAATTTAGGTTGAAGGGATTCAGCTGACAAAACAAGGTTGGGAACCCCTGCTCTAGGAGAGGCCACCTTTTAGTTGAGATGTTAAACAAGTTCTGTGGTTCTGATTACTTTGTCCTTGAAGATCCTTTCAAAGCATACCGGCTGTTATCCCTGGTGTTCTGGCTACATCCCACTATGGGGTTGCTCTCAAAACTTATCCTTATAATTCCTCTAGGAAAGCAATTTCTCAGGTCTGCACCCAGTGTGTGTGATGACAGATTAAAAATAAAAAGCAGCAGAAGTCACACAGAAGCCTTTTCAATTCTTCACACACACTCCTGCACTGAAAGGGTTTGGGGACTCTGGAACAAATCCCAGCAAAGTTGCTGATGTTAAAACTCAGGAATTCTGGGTGGGTGCGGGTTTAAGATTACTGCTATCAATCTGAACAGCAAGGTCAAAGAGCCACCTCTCATTTGCATGTCTGCATGCTTTTTGGCTCAGTTAAATGCAAAAGCATCAGTGGCGCGAAATACATGTGGTACCACATTCCCTGTCTGACTTAGCCTGTATTTCCGATGTGGGCTCAGGACCATTTACAATACGGTCAGCATGCGTCCTGAAGATCCACACCCAGCTGCTGGAGACAGGGGATTGGGACTGGGGATTGAGGGACACGAGAGGAGAAGCTTGAATTTTGCCTCACACTAAGCAGAATAGCGCTGGCAAAGCTGCAGAACAGCACAGGCCAACACACTCACCCAGAAGGGCAGCCAGCGATCTCTTCTGGGCAGCGGATGACTGAGAGAGCGATCCGGATAAAGGGGTCCCACCAACAGACATGTCGGGATATAACTGTGTCATCGAAAAACTGCAGTTAAAGAGTAAAGAACCAATAATTTTATTTTGAATACCCTCTCTTGACAACACATACTGTATTTACGTAGCTACCTGAAAGAAACTAATTCCCTAAAATGTGTATGTTACAAAGTTATTTACCAGTTTCTCAGCGCATACAGGTAAATATCATTCTGAAGGAAAAGCATTAAAGGTAAAGCATAACAAATACGCGATAAAAAAGCGAATCAACACGAAGATCCGAAGAGTTCTGAAGGTAAAAATAAACTACGCATGTTAGCGAATTTATATGACTATACACCGCATTTATATGACTATACACACTATATGTCTCGCAGGGCTTTTTTTAAAAGCAACCTTAAAAAATGCACCGGAATCAACACTTAATCAAACGTACCCCAGGCATCAATCTTTTATTTTGCCGTTAAGGGTGAACGAATTCATTTCAGCCGCTACCCACCCCCAGTCCTGAACATACGGTTGTTTTCGTGCCACAGCTTCGCTTCCGCCAAGCTTTCGGCCCTTCCCGCTCTCTTCTCCGATTGGCTGCGGCTGAGGGTGGTTTGTGCTGATTGGTTGCTGAACCAGCCCTCTGCAGGTTGCGTGACAGGACGCAGGAAGTCACGTGATTCACGGGTGCCGGCATGCTGGCTACAAGCCAGTCTGCTGTCAAAGGTAGACAAAGTTTGGGGGTATCCTAGTAACAAAGGTAATCCTTTCACCCCAAGTGCAGCGTGGGTTTCACGCAGTGGATGGATCTTCAGTTCTCTTTGAAATACCTATATTTCCTTATGCATGAGAAGAACAGCATATTATTGACATACACTGTAGTTTTAAAATTGCGAAATATGACCGAGAGGGGTTTCTCGAAATGTTTAAAAAGAAACATAAAAAACAACCTCATGTTCAAATCAACAAAAGAAATGTTTGCAAATGGATCCAGCATGAACTTAGACAAAGGGCGTATTTTCTCAACAAGACGGTTTATACGTCGTTCAGGGAAACAATCATTAAATTAACCTTAGAATACACAGAACTGAAACAACTCACTAAAACATTGCATCGCTTATGTAACAGTTTCACCAGCTATAAAGTTGGCTTATGGTTATTCCAGATATTATGCACATAACTTATATATCTCTAAATAGTATCTAAATCATCCTACAGAAACTAAAGACAATTTGGGATTTGTTATTCCTGCTGTAGCTTTTCACGTAAGAGTTTAACTGCTCAACATTTCTGTTTCTGTAGGTGTCGTATCCGTTTTATATAAAATACGCTTTTATATCGTATCTTATCGTATCCATGCATTTACTAGGAGCTCAGTGTCGCAGGGGAGCTGGAATCTATCCTGACAAGCAACGGGCACACTCACACCAGGGCCAATTATCCTACCGGCACGTTTTTGAACCGTGGGAGGAAATCGGAGCACACAGAGGAAACACATACGAACAAGGGGAGCACATACAAACCCGTCGCAGAGAACTCCAGTTCTTTTATCTTAAAGACTTCATACATCTTATTGTAAGTCTGTACTGTAATATCGGCATTTGCGAGATGATAATGGCCAATTGTGCTCTCGCTAACCATCAGCAGCTATAAAATAGACGTCTTTTCTCCCGAGTCGTACTGTATACGAAGCCTAGTTTCCGAGCTTTGGCCCCTTTATCAGGGTGTTGTCACGCAATCCCGAGATGCAAGGGCAAGAGGGGCAGAGGCTGGTATTTTATCTTGATCAGCACATCAGAAATCCGCACACAACAAGCTCCTGCCTTTTGCGGTATTGTGATTTGTATTTTCACTCGCCGTGTACATGAAGCGAATCTGCAGTTCGATTGATAATAAACATCATAAGAAATTACTGATGTAGGGGAGACACTGGTAGACTTTAAGACAACCGACTGACCTGGCTGATCAATGTACACTACATTGCTTGTGCCAGACCTGAAGAAGCCGGCCGTGCTAATTTTTGGTGCGTGCCTTTCCTTTTCCTTTTAGGTTGTTGTCTTGGACACACATCGGTAGGCTACGTTATTTATTTGATATCTACCTATAAACCTAGACCGACGATCTTGTTTGCGTGTCAAATGAGTTCCAAAAAAAAAAACAGATTTGTAACTGATGTTTTTTTTTCCTAAACGCCAGGCGCTGTTCACCCTATGACACTCACAGGTACTGTAGCTACGAAAGCTCGCTGGACGGCTGCCCTTGTGTTCTGGGACAGGGCGGGTCTGCGCCTGAGTGGAAGTTTTGCTTTCTCTCGGCGATGGGCTGAGTTTCTGCCGCTTGTGGGCTGTGCCTTTCCCGTCTCCCTGGCCAGCCTCCGACTGACATTCCAGCAGATCAAAGCCGGGCATTCACTGCTGTTATGGAAACCCGAAGCGACTGCGACAGTGCCGATGGCTGGTGAGAGAGAGACCATGGCTCCAGAGACGTGGGAATGATGTGGCTGCCGCCGGCATGGCCCGATCAGCAAGCGCTAACAGCGGCGGCAGCTCCAGCGTGTCGGCCCCGCAGGACCGGGCCGAGGCTCGGGAGCTGGCCGACCCAAAGGAGCTGTCCCTGGAGGAAGTGCTGAAGTCTTACGAGCAGCCCATCAACGAGGAGCAGGCTTGGGCGGTGTGCTATCAGAGCTGCAGGGGACTGAGAGACCTGCTGTCTGCCGGCGGGCTGTTCGGGCTCCGCGAGGTGAGGGGTCCGGCTTCGATACTCTTGCGCAAGGATGGGACCGTCGCCCTGCACACAGACCCGGCCACCCCAGGTACAGTATGTACCGCTCATCGATGGCTTTCTGGATTAATTCCTGCACCTGCCGAAACGCGATCCCGTTCGGCTTGTGTTTATTTTCACCGTTTGCCCGGCCTTCCTCCTCATTTTACCTTACGATAAACATTTGGAGCATTCCGACATTTAAATCTACGCTTGAAGCCCCTGTGCAGATTTTTTTTCCCCCGACATTAGCCAGGAAGCGATCAATTATTCATCCGCCGCCGCTTTCAGCAGGTTTCTAGCCTTAGCCAAACGGCTTGGAGTCGTTCCCTGCTTCAGCAGCTGCCCCGTCGGTGCGCAGGAACAATAAAATGCTAAGGTTTCCTTATTGATACCCGCCTTCAGACCTACATTTAAATCCATGACATTTTAATAAAAAATCCTGAGCTAATCTAGTGAACTGTGGACTGCAGAGAGGGAGTCCCACCGTTTTACAGTATACGAGCGGCATTAGTGTTCTTTGTATTTTATATGATCAACACAGCCGCTATGTTTAAAGTTTGTTTCAGCATGCGAAATAATACAAGAAGGTTACAGTGGCGTTAAGAAAAGGGAAAAGGCTGGAATCTTGATATTAAAAAGGACTGTTTAATCTTGCTTTGGTGTTTGAAAGTGAGCATCGATTGTACCGTATTCCAAAATATGCGCTGTATATGTATTATGATAATCATATTACATGTATATTATTTTAAAATCGATTGTAACATAACGCCCAAGTAGCAGCCTTCGCAGTTATTTTTAACATCTTCAGACAGTTTCGTCCCCGTTATCAAATAGACGTAATGTATTTTGAGCTCATCTGATCATTTTATTTTACATAGTGGATAACCTCGGGTTATTTAGCCAATGTACTGAGTGCGTGAATTTAAGGTTCTGATTCCATTTACTACTATAAATTAATGTCAAGCCTCAATGCGGTGGTAACAGATGGTAGTGAAATTAGTTACTAATGGAAGAGATCACAAAGGGAGCCAGTTATTATGATATTAAATATGTACAGATTGTATGCAAGCAACAGTCATCTGAAGATTTGTAATCTGCATTTAATCTTTGCACCCCTATGTCGCTGTGAGGGAACCCCACAGAATGTTAGAAGCAGCTGTCAGTCCGGCGTTAATTGAGAAAGACTCGCGGTCAGGGTTAAGGTGACGTCGCAGTTCATTTCGTGTCGCAGGTAGGAATGGTGAGCCTGCTGGCCGTCTTGATAGACTGGTTCTGGGTTAATACTGCGTCTTGTTGGCCGCCGTTTCCACGGCAACGACGAAACGTGTGGGAGCTCGGTGTGTTTGGGGGCTTGGATGAGCGAGGGGACGAAAGGTATTGAACCTGCTCGGGAACACCAGAATGCCTTTCCCTGCGAAACAGCAAAGTGTTTAGTTGTGCTGTTGTTTCCCTCGCGGTTTCACTGGAAACCTAGAAGTACCGTTTTCTGGTGAGATGATCCCCTCGGGAAACGTGCATGAACGTACAGACAGAGCCAGCTATTCTCTGCAGGCCAGAGAAAGGACCAGATTTTCCCGATGACGTCAGCTATATTTTCCTTGAGACAGTGTCTCACCTTAGGGTGAAGTGTCGCTTGCTGACCCATGCCGAGGTAACTGTTAAGCAGCTTCCTGAAGGGGCAAATGTATTTGCCCCAGAGAGGGAGAGAGAAAGAGAGGTACTGTTCTGTTGCTCCCTTACAGGAAACAGTTATTGAAATCCCAAGTCCCAAGTCTTTCCACAGTAGAGCAGTGGGGAATAGTTACCTTTTATTTTTATTGTGCGGTGAAGATAATAGCATGCTCACGCCTGACTGCAGGCTGGCACAGTAGAGGAAATTCATGAATTTGCAGTGGCTTTCTCTGACTTGTAGGGTTTAGAATACCGCGCTGGCACATACAGTATCTGCGCCCTGCCGTGCACGGTGCGGATCTGTACAGCAGTAACTGAACCCTGCAGAAATACACGCTCTCCCTGACGATTCATTGAAGCCGAGTCAAGAACAAAGCATCTTAGTCAGGAAACTCGTTTCGTTTGAGTACAGTCGTGACACTGTGGAGCCACAGCGCCTTACGAAGAGGAAAAAGAGTGCACGTTTCTTAGTGTACCGTGTTTTGCTGATCAATCTGGAGATTTTAATAATGTCGTATGACAGAACAGGACTAAGTAAGGAGCACATTCTGTCTATTCGTCTTCTGCTGAGCGGATCGGTCAAAGGGGCGCTTTGCGGATGAGGGGGCGTATCGTGTTCAAAGTGAACAGGCCAACAGTAGATCGAATTATCGCCCATAACGCTCTTTGGACGCCGCTGGATTCATAAAAAAATCACTACACAGTGCCCTACTTTAAAAAAGAAGCACTGCAGGAAAGGGGACGATCAATACGTAAGAACGGTCTCCTGGCCTGGGCCGTCAGTTTGGGTATCTCTACCCTCTGCGCAGAGCGGCTGTAGAGAAAGGCAACGTTTGTTGTTACAATATCAGACAGAATTGTCACTGTTCATTATTTAAGCCAGAAACCTAATGGGGCTGGTGCACCTCTCTGTTTTCGGCTGCTCTTTTCCCTTGTTTGGAGTTTCTAAGTTGCGGCGCAACCTGCCAGCCTAATTGATAAACAGCGTTGTCACACTGCGATAATAAAAAAGAGAAACAGCGCGGCGCACTGCTGATTCATTTTATTTACACACCTATAAAAATGCTTTCATTCACAATAGGATAGGAGCGTACTGTATGTGTTTTTTTTTTTTTTTCGTTTTGTCCAGTGAGCGGCGAGGCTGTAACCAGCGTGCCCTCGCGGCCTCTGGCGTCGCTCCTCGCTCTGTCAATAGATGGGCGCGCGGCGGCGTGTCACCCGATCGCATCGACATGGGGTTAGTCCTGGAATGACCTTTACCCCACATTTCTCTCTCCTCTCTTCCACTCCCTTTGAAGACCACACCCCGTGTCCCTTTACCCACCCAGCCTCGCATTCTGTTAGTTGGAATCCTTCGGCTTCCATCCGGTTTTCCCACAATATCCCCTTTCCTAATTTTTCTCAGATTACAGGGAAATGAGCTGGTGATACAATTGCAATCGAACCCCAAGCAGAGAAGGCACAGATGCACCAGGCCTGGTCGCTCTGCCTTGCAGGGCCTGATGCAGACGACCATGCAGAAAGATCATCTTTATGCCAACGGTGCTAAATTACCTATAGAAATTACCTATGGGCATGCTGTTTTTACCGATGCAGAGCTTTCCGGAATGTTTCTCCTTTTGGAATGCATATGGAAATACACCGAGCTCAGATTAATGCCAATGTCATCTCAGTATTTCTGAAATAAAAATGGTAACCTCTGAAAATCCAGTTCAAACAAGAACCTGCCCACCAAGGGAATTTTAGTATCTGTAACAGGGCCTGGCAGTGTGCGTCAGATAAAAGCTCGAATCTTCCAGAGAAGAGGCACTTCGCTACACAAAACCGTGCAGGAGTATGGAACAAGTGACCCAGCCCTAGCATTGCTGCTGAAGCCCAGACTGCCTTCCAGAAACAGCTGGAGCAGATCCCTGGTCAATAAGCTGCTGAGTAGCACAATTATATTAAACCAGGAGAGAGGGAAAAGCTTAGAGCTGCATTCATGCCAGATGTATCTTGATAGATGTATAGAAAAAAATCTATTTCTTCATCCAATAAAAAATAAATATGCTTAGCCATATATAATGCACGTAGCCCAGGGCTGGGTGATTCACTCTTGCCTGGTTGAAGCAGGGCCCTTGCCTGTGCATAGTGGTCTGTGTACAACAATGAGAAGTTGCTGTAACCAGCCATTAATCTTATTGATGATAATAATATTCATTAGAAAAAGATTATTATTAATTAAAACTTACTGTTGGTGTTAATAATAATTATAGCTGTGTTAATACTAGCTTCTTTTGTTAGGTTGTTCTTATTGTTGTTCAGAATCTATGAGCATCAGTGCTAATACCTGTAATAAAACTGCCACCACACCTTTCACCTTTCGCAGAAATAGACTACATACTGTACATCCATTCCAATAATAATAATAATAATAATAATTGCTTACACTTATATAGCGCTTTTCTGGACACTCCACTCAAAGCGCTTTACAGATAATGGGGACTCCCCTCCATCACCACCAATGTGCAGCCCCACCTGGAGCCACTGGGGTGAGTAAGAAGGTTTTCTGAAGCAGCAGGGTAAGGTTCTATCTGCCAGCATCTCGGATAGTCACCTGTCACTGCTAACAAGAAGCAATTGGCAGAAATCTGTGTCAGGCCCTTGCAATGAGGTGTGAAAAGAGCTGCGCCTGAACACTGGGGTCACACTCTTCTGGCTCAGTCACCCCACGGAGAGAGATCATGAGAGTGCAAACATGCAGAATGCAAGCTGGTGGCAAGGCAGGAATGACAGCTGCCCCACCGAGCCCAGAGCCCTGGATTAGTCACACAAGATCTGAGGACTCCAATCTACATGAATTCCTGACAGGAGTTTACAGGAGGAACCTTGCAGGATCTTCCCCAGTCATGTTCCTCCAGGAATCTTTCATTATGAGTGCAGGAATCTTTAAGGATGTCTTTGACTTGCTCGTCTCACAGATGACCTGCTATTTGTGACAACAGCCTTCCTCCTTGATGACACTGGACTGGTGAAGTACGACTGAACACAAGTCCTTTGTTAGAAGTGCAGGTAAAATATTTGCCAGTGTAAAAAAATATATATTTTTAAATTAGTTCCCAGTGGTACTTTGCAGAGTGTTTAAGCATCGTATCTTTGAGTTGGTCTTTTCCTCTTGTGTGGAGCAGGATGATTCTGGGAATCGCAGTAGATCTGCCAGCATGAGAAACCACAGTGTGAGTAATGGCCAGTCCGTCTCCATGATTAACGGCGTAGTTAGGGGCTGCTGTCTGCAGCTGCTGCCACGCTGAGAAAACTGAATTATGCTTCTGGAAAATTAAGGTTGTAATGATCTCATTTCTGTTGAGAGGCTGCGCCGGTGTCATATCAGGAGGAAAGAGAGTTAAGGACAGGCCGGGCAGGTGTAATGCACTGAGTTCTGAATGTGTTATCCCCAACGCCCCCAATGTACTCCTTGGTGACAAGACTTTCAGAAAATTATGACTTTTCCTGCTTTGCGAATGTCCTAAAAACCTAAGAATAAGAAAGAGTATAAACAGGTGGAGGACATTCAGCCAATCTGACTCGTTTGGTTTGTACTGGGCTACGGGCTTTAGTCATTTTCTTTAGGAAGTCAAGACATCGGCTTCAACAGTGTGGTCGTGTAGCTTCGTCTGGACTCTCACAACCCCTTGTGCTTTTGAGTGTTTTATGTCTGAATGGGCGGTTGGATTGCTGTTATGGAAGGGAGAGTGATGTTTGTACCAGAAATCAGACAGATCTGCTATGGAAATCAGAAGCTACGATCAGTGCCATTGTGCTACTTTATATCAGAGCACACTTTTGCATTTATTAATCATATATATTAATAAGATTAGATACAGTATGCAAAAATATGCAAAATTCACAAGTAAAGTCAGATACAAAAGCCATAAAGTTTTGCATTTTCCTTCAGGGAGCCTATAAAAACATTTAGAGAGTGACTTCTCCTCAATCTGTGCACATGGACAGACGTCTGAAGCCAGAACAACAGGTAGCTTCGCACAATAGAAAGCATTGTGCTGACAGCCTAGTAACTTTATTTCATTGTGTTTCCACGAGCCTGTAATTATTCAAGGCGGTGACATCAGCTGAGTCCTTTCTGTATTCATGACCTAATGTTGCCTCACAGTCTGTATTCAGTACAAAACACAACTAGCCTGATGTGCTCAGTGTTTTATTATTTTAAGTTGAGATCACAACGTTTAGTTGGCTGTGTGCATAAAGCTCTTAGCTCTCGCAAGAACACAGTTCCTTCACAAAAATATAACCTGCCCTTACAATCCAGTATAACACAGAAGTAGAAATGATGATGTGATATTGTATGTATTTCTTTTTATTGTATTTTTATATCCATAGGATCAATAGATCGATGAACATATGATTAATTGTAAGCCAAAAGTATATTTGAACATAGAATGCATTACTTTAGAGAAAAGTTCATTTTCTCTTGCACATCCTTGACTTAAATTAAAGTCAACTTGTCTTACAAAACTAAAATGTAATTCTGGTTTTCTGATTCTTTAAACAGGCCTGCCTGGATTCCAAAAGCAAAGCCGTGCTCATCTTCTGTTAAGTTTCACTCACAGGCAAGCAACCAAAGTTAATTTCATCTGGCTTTCAAGCAACACAGTCAATAGAGACCTTTTCATGAAGCATAGAGTGGACCTTGTGGGTCAGTGACTCAGAGTCTGGGCAGCACTGTGAACCAGCTGGGAGCACTGCTCCACAAATTGCCACTAACCACCAAGGTGAGCTTGCTGTGTTTTCAATGAGAGCTGCGTCAGTCCTAAAGCTCCACTCCAGGCTCTATTAATAAAAATACGTCCCTGCACATTTCTAAAGGCACGTGCTTATGGTCGCACTGCTATGAGCTCTGGAATGACGAACTAAGGTTCCTAAGAAAACAGAGATTCCAAAACTGGAAGGAGTGAAGTAACATTAAAATAATGGTCAGGTTCCAATAATGAAGGCATTGCACCAGCTGGCTTTTGATTAGTGCTGTGGGACTGTGTCCAGCGTGCGCAGGGACGAGTGACAGTGGTAACCTGTTGCAGACGAGGGGCTCTTACTCCCTGTCTCCGGACACTGACGCCCTCGGTGAGAATTTAGGAAGTTGTGGCAAAATAAAGAATTGAGTCAGTAGAGGCTCCTTAGGAGTCTGGGGTGGGGGATAGGTGATGAGTTTTTTTGCCTCGATGTGTTGTTACCAATGTCCTTTGTGCTTCAACAATATGAGTAGGCAATTTGTTCAAGATGCCCATAAGCCTTTGTGTGAAAAGTGCCACAAGTTTTTACTCATAATTGTACTTTCTTATAATTAATCTTGTTAATCTCCAGTTCTGGAAGGCCTCAAGATTTGATGTGTCTTTTCTTTTTTCTGGTGTAGAAAACTAATTTAAGTGGGATTTGTTTTTCAGGTCTTGCATTGCTGATGATGTTGTTTGATAGGCATCAGCCCAAATACAGTTTCTATTAAAGGTTTTGAGCCTGAGGATAAAATCAGATGTATCCATTTCAACACATCATTAGCTTCAACAAAGTCATTTTTCTAACATATATGAAAGCTAATCAGCGTGCAATACAGAAGAGCTCTGATATATTAAAAATGAGAGATGACATTCTTTATAAACTCAGACAAGGACTCTTTCTGGTTGCTTTGCCTTACGATCATTGTACCTCCTGCAGTTGCTTGGTCTAAAACAGACATTCATGAAGATGGTATGATCAGACAATTCTGCCATTTTGGAGGGTAACAATTTTCTTTGTGCCTAACTGTGCCTAACCAAAAGTTCAGCATTCACACTAATTTTGATTTTGATTTTCTTAGCAATGGGGCAGCAAAGAGAGTGCTCTCTAATTCTGAGTTTATGTAATCAAATTTATGTACTGTAGCTCTTACCCATGCAGAACAGTCATATTTATATATCATTAATCATTTTATGAGTTAGCTGAGAAGTGGTCAAACCTAGTCTCTGTTTTATCTCAGCATTGAATAAATTAATTAACCCAATGGTCAGGAAAAAATGCTGGCTGTTGCAGACACTCAGTGACTGCTGACTTTGAGACCTTTAAAAGCTGCATGTTTGCAGAGGAATGGGGCTTTGATCAGAATCTGAGGTCTCTACAGGAAACACGCTGTATTTGTGCAATATGTGCAGTAACGGATACCCAAGCCTTTTTTTACGTCTGAGATTTGTCAGTAGCTCCTTTCTAAAAGACAATACCTTTGCAAATGTCAGGAAAATAAGGCAAACATAATGGAAAACAATAGGTTTCTAGACCAGAAGATATTAACATTGGAGTGATATGTGATATATCCCTTTGAGTTCAAATTCCATGTTCTTTTTTTTCCTTTACCTGTTGCTTGGCTTCCCTCCCTCTTCCGAAGGGTTTACACTTTTGGACAGCAAGGCCAAGTCTATCCGCAGTCTGTGCCTGTAGAAACAACCTCAAAGGCTCTTAATCCCTCATTGTGGTATATGGACCACCCCTCCTCTTCAGTTCTCCAGTTCTTCAGTGTGAAATAGTGGTAGACACACATGTGTCCAGTGAGTGCACATGCACAATGCAGATATACTGTGATTGTTTTACCTCCAGTTCAACATTATTCTCAGATTCAGTTCAGTGGCGCCTATGAGTGATGTCAGATACTCCTCTGTATCAAGCTGTAGCTTCAAGAGAGCTGGCCTTTCTGAAATCCAGGGGGTGTGGGAGTCTGGAAGCTGTCTCACCCTGCTATGAAAACTGATTCCCTGGCTTTTCCAAGAAACGTCTGGATGAGATCCTTGGATCAGCTACAAGCAGCCTCACGCGCTGGTTGGTCCGAGTGGCCTCCGCTCCTTTGTGACCTCTCGTCTGTTCTCATGTAGAATAAGACTGACAGCAGAACAAGCGTGGATGTGTTCGAGACCGCTCTGCTTCCTCTCGGACTTCTGTTTTCATGTCAGCTGCGCTGAGCCTGGAAGCAGTGAATCCTAGTCCTGAAAGGTTCTCTTCTTTCTTTCTTTCCAGATGTCAGTAGAAAACTCTCCCCAAAGACTGTCCCTGAAAGCCAGGTGAGTTTCTAACAAGCTCCTATTGTTTGGGTGCCAAAACTTCATACCTCCTCCCTCCAGTGAATCAGGCTTTTAATTTAAATAAAGTCGTCCAATTCAGAAACATTTCACCAGACCTCAGCTACTGGGACATAGAGAATTACAGTAGCGTTTTTACACATTAGGTTTTGCCAAACATTTAGTTCTACATATTAAAACAAAGACCCTTTTGTGCCATGTCTATAACTGCAGAAACAAACAGCCTATTAACAAGCTTACAGTGGTTTTACTGCTGATATTCTAGTTAATGTTGCATGAATTTGTTAGCAATTTTGTTGAGTATCAGTACTGTATTAATAAAACAGTGTATGTTGGGCATAATGACTGCATTTTAAAGCATTATTATTAGTTTGACTATCATACCTATTTTTTAGGGGATTTGATGAAAATATCATTTTTGTGGTAACTTTTTTCACAGTTGACATCCATCTCCGAGCTTGACTAAGGAGTCTTTGGTCTTAAATCAGCACAGATACAGCTCAAAATGTTTGGTGCTAGGCTGTGATATTGACTTCCTGCTCTGGTTTGTGCTGAAGTGATTTAATTACCCTTTCTAAAATGCGGAGTTTGATATAATACCATAGTAATATATCAAACTCCTTTCCGTCATTAGAGTAATGTATCCCTTTTCCTTTAATGTATCAGTGACATATTTGAAATTTAGACCTTTCATGTCACTGAAAGTTAAAACCTGGCAGGTAGCAGCTAGGTTAATTCAGTCTAATGTACAGAAGCTTCCGTGTGTTTCTGTGTTTCAGTTTACAGTACTGCAGAAATACCCTGCACTGCCCAAATGCCCATATTTCTAACTATTCAATGTTTCTTAGCTTTATACTGTACATTCGATGCATGGTAAAGCTTGGAAAGCCTGAGTTCATAGCCCCAGGGACACAGAGTAGCAGACTCATTAGGCTTGTCTGTGCATACCAGGGTGTTAGGTAGGAAAAGGCCATCACACATATTTAGGACTTCTTCCTTGTCATGAGACTGAGTGTCAATGCGGTTTTTAAGCCACCTGTAAAACATCAGCACAAGTGTAAGGTGAAAGTGGTCCTTCTTTAGTATGTGCTTTGCTAGTAGTTGAGTTGAATGTGCAAATCTGATTTAAATTGCAAACACTTACAACCTATAAATTCAAGGTCAAAGTCAACTTAATTGCCAAACTATCCCCTTAGGTTGTTAGGATTTTTTTGTGGTGCACTTAAAATAACAGAAACACAGAAAAGACAGATGAAAGGAGAGAAATCTCTCTTTTATATCGGTCTGAGTTAAGAGGCTGGATAGCCCCAGGGTAGGTACTCTTCCGGAACAGCGCTGTTTGGGAGTTGCTACATCCCGAGGGAAGGAGCTCAAACAGGGGAGGATCTGGCTGGGAGTGGTCACTAATATACTTCAGAGTTTCTCTGTTTGAACTTGGATCAAATTCCAAATAAATCATTTCAATCACCTGCTCTGAAATAATCCCCTGCAACAGGGTAACAAAACCAATTATGAATTGAAAACATTACTGGTTCAAATTCCATTGTGCACTGCTGTTGTACCCTTGAGCAAGATTTTTAAATCAAATTACTGTAGCAGAATGCCAATGCTAATGTTTAAACTGGTACACATTTAAGTCTCTTTAGATAAAAGCACCATGCAAATAATTTTTAGTTTTGGTTCCCTTGGTGATGAAGAACCCAGTTGTTAAATCAGACATGTCTCTATCAGTGGCCTGGCATCCCATCTTCTTGTTTCCATAACAGCAAGCAAAAGCTGTTCTGATGGGCTGGTTCTCTCCTGCCAATCAGAGCTCTGCAGTCTACAGATTGGAGCCCATTGCTGAACAATAGCAGGCTATCAAGTATCGGTAATGGATTTGAAAACACATGCACAGTGTTTGTCCCTGACTTTCCAGGCTTGTTTTCTTTCGATAGAAATGGAGTCTCAGAAGGTTCCAATTCCCGGCTTTGTGGATTTTTTTCATTCTTTAAAATGTCAATGCAGAGCTCAGAGTAACCCAGAGACTCGGAGAACAATAGAGCAGCATTAAGAAAAGAAACAGGATGCGGTGTATTTTTTCTTCAGTAGTTTGTTCTATTGAGAATGTGTTGCAGGGCTGAAAGAAAGTTGAAATCCACACCAGTGTTGGAGCTGCTGGCGAACCTTTTCCTGAGAAGAAAATCATTAGTCTTGTAACACCTTTAGCCAAGACAACTTGAGGAAATGAAGGGTTACGCCAACCGGCAACAGCCTCTGCTGCATCTGGACCTGAAGTTTGCGTGCCACTCAGAGGACAGACCACTGCTCAGGCTGGAAAAAACGTGTACGAATAGCAGAGCTGGGACTGGAATCAGGGATGTCCTGAAAAAAGTATTTTTCCTTTTTTTTTTAAAGAAAACAAGTTGCTAGGTATTCTTCATTTTGTACCCAGCCACTTTGGAATCATCACTTGGTGCTGGTGTTTCACCTCCTGGACTGCACAGGGAGGATCAGGACCATGTCTCTCTGGCTCTCCTATCAGCTGTTTGTTTCGAGTTCCAGGATCCGCAGTGCCTCACTGGCAGGTCAGCACCAGCGCCCGCTGAAGAAGAAACAAGCCTAATCACTCACCAGGAAGGGCCCAGTGCACGGTCAAGCCTGCAAGCTGCTAGGAGAAGCTGCCAAGTCTGTTTCCTCCTCTCCAGGATAATTACTTACTGAACTGAATCCTGCTGGAAGATGCAGGTCTGCTTGGTCTCATTATAAAAGGCCTCTGCAGCAAACTGCATCTTCAAAACAGCCCAGTGTTACTGCGACAAACCCTCTTCTATTGCTCTCCACTGCCTGCCAGTGCACCAGATGTTTTGAGCCACATTTGTTTGTGATTTAGTTTAAGCCACCTATTCTAACATCATTTAAAGGTTAGACAGTCCAGTTACTGTAAAGAAAAAAAAGGCTCTTTTGCAGGAGGTTCCTGGCTCAAAGCCTGACTTTGCCACTTACTCATTATGTTCTACCTTTAGCAAGTTTCCTGACTTAAGTTCCTTGCACAAACATCTTGCAGTAGTTCTGTAAGTACGTCTGCAAGTTCCTTAATGATTGTAAGTCACTTCAGGTAAAGTTATCTGCTATCTGCTAAAGTTCCTGTGATAAAGAGTTTTTTTCATTTTCAATGAAATAAAGATGCCTGTACCTTGTTTGTCAGAGCCCAGGCCTGAGTGGTGTGTGGCTTTGTGTCTGTCATTTTCAAGGACATCTTTTAAAGAAATTGATGCTAAAGAGTCTGCACTAAGCAGAAGAGTGGTTCTCTGGGGCATCGACAGTAAAAAGAGCATTAGTCAAGGCCTCCATCCTTTGAACATGTCAATTGTTTTGACAGTAAGCTTCTCAGATTTCCAGTAGGAACTTTTATTGTTGACAGTCATCTAAAAATATAAGATTTTGAGCATTGCTTATGACTAGTGCTCTGTGTGTGTTCAACGTGCTGGCACTGCTAAAGGACTGTATAAAACATAGCTCTTTTAGTTTTCATATAAGATAAGCTAAGGTGAGGAAGGCATATCTGGGAATTTTTTAGCCTCTCTGATCTGACCTCTGACCTTCTCTGGCCAGGGTCAAAACACCCTGGAAAGCTTGCTTCTTTTGTCTGTCTGCATTACTCATTCTGTCTCGGACATTTCATGTACTCGGGTTTGTACCACATATTTTATATTTGACCTTTCTACCTCCTGCACTACTTTATTGGGGTAAACGAAATAATGTTCATGCACCTTTGCAGCAGGATGTTTGTTCATTCTTTAGCAGATGGATTCCAAAAAGTGAAAGAGAAAATGTGCACATTTAAATCCACAGCAGGACTTCAGAATACTGTAAAAAATGTGTGACAAATACATTAGAAAGAGAAATCAGTAATCCACCATAAAAAGACTGACCAGTAATGGATAAAAGAATGCTTAAAATCCATTTCACTGTAATTGTAAAAAGTGATAGAATAGAGATCCTAACTGTATTCCCCCTGGCTTTTATCAATCATGGCCTCCTAATAAACCCTATCTACTGTATGAATCAGCTTCATCACTTTGTTCTCCATCCACTTGGCATGGATGAAGGCAATATGTTGATCTTAAAAATCTATGACTTTATTAGAAAATACAAATACTTGAAGCTAGATATGAAAGGATATAAAAATTTATATGATTTTGAGTTTGGTTTAGCCAGAGTCCGTCTCTCTGTAATCAGCCATTGAGGAGCGAGCAGGTGTTGATCACACACAAGCACGTTTCTGGAACTGACAGGTGTGATTTTGAAAACAATGAGCGGCTTCTAAAAAGGCAAAATCTGCTCCTTAACACCAATATTAATCAGTCTATTTAAATGCAGGATTTTAATTGCTGTCCGTGCTCTGATGTGAAGAGCACAAAACCCGGTAATTTCCGGGGAAGTGCTTCTCCTGCCATCGGTAAATTTGGATTGCCCTCCTTCAGGCTTTTGTGAAACATTTGCACATATTGTGGTTTAAAATGACATCCATAACACAGGAGCAAAGAGTGTAGCGTGAAAGCAAGTGCTTTACAGGGATGGAAAACAAAACAAACAAAGCAGTACGATCAGTTTGTCTTTAAGGGGTTGGCTCTCCTACAAACTGCAATGCTGAAACAGAAACTCCAATATATAAAGTAGTTTTAAGGGTTGAACACCGTCTTCATCGCGATTAAACTGATGAGTCAGATTAAGGCAGGGCCCCAGTTCTGGGTTTCTGGGACCTTTACATTAGTATTCTCGATATTTAGTTACAGCTGTTTTCATTCCATTGTTTTAAGTTTTTACAGCTGATTTTTTAATTGGCACCCGTCCGTTTTGGCCAATATTACTGCTAACGCAGTCGCCCCAGAATGAGAAGTGGGTTTGGAATTTGTGAAGGAGGGAGGAGCGCCACCTGCTGGCCAGTAAATGCCCCGTGTCCCGGCCCTGCTCTGCGCAGGTGGTGCAGTCCCTGGGCTTCGCCATCTACCGGGCGCTGGACTGGGGCCTGGACGAGAGCGAGGAGCGGGAGCTGAGCCCCCAGCTGGAGCGGCTCATCGAGCTGATGGCCAGCGGGGACGGCCAGGGCGGCGGCACGGCCGACGAGGGATACAGCGGCCAGGAGGAGGAGGAGGAGGAGGAGGAGGAGGCTGGGGGGGGGGCCCGCCGCGCCGTGCGGTCCTTCCGGCAGGTGATGGCGGTGTGCGCGGCCCGCCTCGCCAACCCCAGCCAGGCCCAGGCGCACTACCAGGCTGTCTGCCGGGCGCTGTTTGTGGAGACCCTGGAGCTGCAGACCTTCCTCATCAAAATCAGGGACGCCAAGGAGGTGAGGCCTTCCCACTTCCGTGAGGAGCAGGGACTCCCAGTGCGCGCCCATAGGTCTCACACTCTGCTCATGCCTGTCAATAGCTGTGATCTCACCAGTAGCCTTTACTGCAGTGGTTCCCAGTGCTGGTCCTGGTGACCCACACACCTGTGGGGGTTAGGTTCCAGCCCAGCCCAGCCCTCAGTCACACGTTCAGACCCTTCACTGACTTAATAAGAATACGACTCATGATGGAGCTTTAACCAGTGCGTTTTGTAAGTGAAATAAAATCCCAAGCTTGTGACCAGAAACAAAATGTAAATATTCCAATGAAACAGCTTCTTGGATCGAGGAAGTCTTCATTGATCTCATGAAGGTGGGCTGGAATGAAGACCAGCAGGTGTTGGGGTCACTCAGGACCAGGATTGGGAACCACTGCTTTACTTTGTCCTACTGTCCTAAAATATTACCATGAAAAAACAACATTTTCAAAAGTTACAAATCACCCACACCTGGTTGCTTGGTTTTGAACACTCCTTGCATGCATGAAGATGAAACTTCACATACAGTACACTGTGAGAGAAAGGGCCTGTTATCTCTAGATCTGGGGCACATGGAATATTTTGCTACAGTATGTATCAAGTTCATCACTGCTAGAGAGTGTTCAAGGCAAGCCCCTTACTGTTTTTTTCTCTCAGATGCTGAAGAAAATCCGAGATGAAGAGACCCCAGAGGGGAAGCCTGCAGCGGAGCTGGACAACCTCCGGAACACAGACTGGGTGAGAGCCTCCAGACTCCAAACGTTGAATGATAGAAACCACACCTTGCGAGTGTGAGATGACTCTCACAAATGGCAGAATTACTACTTTCTGACTGGGCCCCAAAGCAGGGATGTGTAACAGTCGCTCAAGGACTGGTTTTCATCTATCTCTGATTTTAATTACTCCAGTGGAGTCCTGATTTGGATACGAAGTAACATCACCATTTTTTTTACTGTTCCTAATCAACTCACCTGTGACACTGATATAGTCCTCCTTGGAAGTTGCCTTGTATTACAAGTCTTTTCTCCAGCTAATCCCTGATTGTCAAAAGATTTTTCCTAAGACGCCTGGGTTAATTAAACAATTAAGGACCAGTTTGCTGATTACTGTATTGGACTGTTCAAAGTCCTGTAGTGGAATGGATAAGAAGTGGCAAGTCCCCTGGACTAAATAAAAGATATAAATATTATACATGATATATAATATATAAATAGTACAACAGAACTCATCACAATTAAATTAAACCCCTATTTATCTAGATTGATTTACAACGATGGCCCAATCAGGAGGCTTTCACCTCTGCAGCACAGTCAACAAAACAACAAAAGAAAGGAAAAGAAGTCAAACACAATGTGGATTTTACAGTTCTTGATTTAAAATGACCAAATTGCCATGTACGTGGGTGTGATACGCAGCTGTCAGTAAAGACTCTAGCAACAAGCATGTGACCCAGAAAGTAGAATTCCTCAATTAAGCACAACGAGTCACGGGTGGAGCCTGATCCTATAGTTACACAATGTGGACAAAGCCTGTGCAACCAGGGTGTCTTCCTGTTTAAGGAGGGGTCCAGGTGTGAGCGAGGTAAGCACATTCTTTACCACGAGGCACTGCTGTCAGTAATGGGAAGAACCTACAGAACACAGACAGCCTAACCTTGAAGCCTCCAACTGATGTTCACACATGTGGTCAAAATTAAAACTTATTCTGTCTCAGCTTCCTCCTTTTCCCCCTGTTTGACAGCTTATGTTGCCTGCATACAGCTATGACTTTCTTATCGCCTGCAAAAAACACGCATCGTACACACAACAGATATGTTACTTTGTGTATGTTTTAAACTCACCCAAAGCAGTTGATTTCATTCAGCCTGGTCTCTTGATGTTGTGCAAATCATTAAAATGGGAGGCTTTGTACTTGTGACTTCTAATTAACACAGGTGGCCACTGTGTGCTGATATTAAATGCCAGTCTTCTGTTTAATTAGCAAAGAGTTAAAGAGAAAGAAAAGTTGAATCAATAAGAGCTCTGGAGGTGAAACTGTGGAGGTAGAGGAATGAAATGCGGTGATGAGTTTGTAATGATAATGAGATGCATGGGTCATAATGAGAAACTCAGTAAAGGAAGACATGATCTTATGAGCAACTAACCCTGCTTTGTGATGTTTGGTTTTGGAGTTCTTACTGATTCATTTTTGTTTTTGTATTTTTGCCACTAGCTAAACAGAAGACCTCCATTATACTTCAGTAAAAAGTAGCCAGGCGTTGATTTATGTGACGTTCACGAATGTGTTTAACGGAGTCATTGATGAGTGAAATTAGAGGTCCGCAGCTGGAAAGGCTGTTGGGAAAAGCGGTTTGAAGGGAGCCTCTCTCCCGCAGGCCCGCCTCTGGGTGCAGCTGATGCGCGAGCTGCGCCACGGCGTCAAGCTGAAGAAGGTGCAGGAGCAGCAGTTCGACCCGCTGCCCACCGAGTTCCGCCTCACGCCCTTCGAGATGCTCATGCAGGACATCCGCGCCCGCAACTACAAGCTGCGCAAAGTCATGGTGAGGCCCCAGCGCCCCTGCACCCCTGCCGCTGCCTTACCCCAGCAC